TCTCATGTTATCACGCATAAAACAACACTGGAGTTCCTAAGATTTATACATGAAAGCTTTTTAAAAAACAAAATTACTTCAAGTGGATTGCAATTCTATACTAGACCATATTACGATGGAAAGAGATAAAAAAACCAAATTAAATAGTTAGCTGCCTAAGTTCAAGAGATCAAACTAATTTCATTTGCTAGGTCAAATAGAAATATATATTTGGTGCTTTTAAAAAAAAGTGTAGGTTTCCAAAGCTTAAAACATGAGCAAATGCAAGTGGGAGGACATATTTAAACATAAAATTGTAAATAACCTGGAATTGTTTAAACATGCTCTATTACATTCAAAAAAATGAAAGAAAACTTCCTTCATTAAATCCATGGGGAAATGAAGGCATCAATTTAAAAAAAAATCAATACACAGCAAGTGAAGCAACAGAGACACTGTAAACAATTGATAAGGGAAGCTAAAGGTTATCACTAAAAAAATTAAATGGTCAGTAGGATTAAACATAGTAAGGAGGAATTCTTTAAATATGTCAGGAACAAACAAAATCCTAGCAATTGAATAGGTTTGATGCAAGACATGGATTTTGAAGTTATTAGTGATGAAGCAGAAGAATTAAATATTTCTGTTCTGCATTCCAAAAAGCAGGATGATTTATTCATATCTCATAGTGCTAATGAAATACTTTAACATCCTCCCTAGTTACTGATGGAATAAACAGCACTATTAAACATTTTTAAATCTGCAAGACTGATAACTCATACCCAAGATAATTAAAAGAAGTGGCTGAGGAGCTGTTTGAACTCTCTCAACTCCTAATGTTGATTTTTAGAATTTTTTGGAACACTGGGGAACTACCAGAAGACTGAAAAAAGGTAATATTAGAGAGTTAATAGGATGATCTTGGTAACTAGAAGCCAGTACCCTAACAATGAACATGGACAAAATCATGTAAAGGCTGATATGGGATCTACATCAGTAAAGAATTAGAAGATGGTAGCATAATTAATGTTTTTATGGAAAACAGATCTAAAACAAATGATTTTTTTTTAGGAGATCACAAATCAGATTGAGAAAGTATCTGTGTTAATATAATTAGATTTCTGTAAGGCATTAGAATTAGTCCTTCATGACTTTCTGATAAAAAAATTAGTATTACACAAAGTCAATGTTGCCCATAGTAAATTAATTAAAAGCAAATTAATGAAAGATCACAAAAAGTAACTAAGTGGGGAATCTTCAACAAATGAAGTGTTTCTATTGGGGTCCCACAAGTATCTGTTCTCAGCCCAATGCTATTCAGTAGCAATCAGTGATCTAGAAGAAATATAAAATTGTGTCTAGTAAAACCTGCAGATCACTTAAAGTGGACGAGTGTCCAGTAATGATGGGACATGTCAGTTATACAGACAAAACTGGACCACTTCATAAGGTGGGCTTTTAATACAGCCAAAGCAAGTACACACATCTAGGAATAAAAAGAATGTAAGTCACACTTACAAGATGGTAGACTGTCCTGGAAAGCAGTAACTCTGAAAAGGACTCTGGGGCTCACAGTACATAACCAACTGAATATCAGCCTCTAGTACAATGCCAGAACTAAGAGGATAAACAGGAGGTGTATTACCTTTGTTACTAGTATATGGTTACTAATGAGACCATTACTGAAATGGTATGGCCAATTCTGGAGTCCACACTTCTAAAAGAATCTGGGGAAATCTGCAAGGATTCAGAAAAGAGCTAAAAGAATGATCTGAAGACTAGAATACATACCTTATAATGAGTGACTCAAGAGGAGCAGTCTAGTTAGAAAGAAAGGTTAAGAGGACACTATCAGTCTACAAGTACCTACATGGGGAAGAGACTTCTGCTAAAACAGTTCTTTAATCTAGTATGAAAAAAGAGACATAACCAGAGCCAAAGGTTGGAAGCTGAAGATAGACAAATTCAGATTAGAAATAAAGGTGCAAATTTTAAACAGTTAAAGTAATTAGCCATTGGAGCAACCAATCTAGGGATGTGATGGATCCTCCATCACTTGAAGTCTTTGAATAAAGATGTCATTCTAAAAGAAATGCTATAGTTCAAACAACTTAAGGGCTTGACGCAGAAGTTATTGGATGAGGTTCCTTGGGTTGAATTATAGAGGGTCAGACTAGATGATCTAGCCGTAAGAATCCATTAAAATATTCCTTGAGATGCAGTTACTGTGAGTGATACAGGGTGGAGGAAAACACACACACACACACACACAAAATAATGGAAGTCAAGGAGAAAGCAGTAGATGCTTATTAGGCAGCTGGACATGAAGCTTGTCCCATCTTATGAAATCAATGGAGAAAAAAACCTGAGACAAACTGCAAGGTACAGAAGCTAGCATTTCCTTCCAACAGCTTGAGACAAGGATGTTTTAGCCCACCGAAATATGTCCTTCACACTCCTCTCCAGATGTCCTCTTAACCCACCAGCCCTGAACTGAGTTCAGGTGTACTAGGTAGCTCTCCATAACTAGAGCAAATACTGTACAAATTTGATCACTTTCTCCCAAATATTCTTCTTGTTCATCCAAGCAGCCTATTCAGAACATTAGGGATCTATGCCAGAAAACAGACATTTTTGAAGGAACAGCAAATGGAAGGACTTCCCATGTTAAACAAAATCTTATACTGTACAGCTCACTGCAGGTAAGTACCAAGGGTCAATCCCTTTTGGTTTGGTATGCATTGTCTTCATAAAGGGCCTGCAAGTTGGCAGCATATTTCTACTATCAATGCACCAACTCTTCCACAAACTAAAGGTGATTAGAGTTCACACAAAAATTAAGATCAGTCATCTCTAGAGATAGTTATTGTATCCATCCTTGTTTGCACATTAGAAACCATTCAAACAAAAACTTACTACAGTCAAACTACTTTAGTGTAATAAAAAACTAAGTGAATTTAAACTAAGAAGAGTGCAGTTATGGTCAGAAATAGGCCCTTTTATTAATCAGATCTCTTCCCAGGAGGTATTAAAATCAAAACTGCTTACCACTTTGGTGTTGAAGGTGTTTTTACTATGTTCTAACAGTGTTAACCTTGAAGAGTTATTTCTGAAAGAACAAGCTGGATTGTTTCCTGACTCAGATTGTTTCATTAAGTGATTTGTTAAGTTCCAGAACTCATTACTGATGATTAGGGCTCTGTGTCTGTCATGGAGGTTGTGGAAAGCCACGGATTCCGTGACTTTCCGTAACCCCCATGACTTCTGAAGCGGCAAGCCGGCGCCGGCCGGCCGTGGGGACCACTTGAGCAGTGGTCCTGGGGACAGCGGAAGCTGCCACAGCTCAGCAGCCCCCAGCAGCACTCCCAGAGGCAGCCGGAGCAACTGCTGCTCAGCACCCCCTCCACCAGTGTTGCAGCCCCTGCACCCTCTAGAGCAGCAGATCCTCCCTAGGGGCCCTCCAGATAAAATTTAGTCAGAGGTATTTATAGTACAAGTCATGGACAGGTCATGGGGCTGTGAATTTTCATTTATTGCCCATGATGTGTCCATGACTTTTAATAAAAATACTCATGACTAAATTGTAGCATTACTAATGATAGACAAGCTAGAAAGAACCCAATTTGACTTGCAGATTCCACACTAAAGGCAACTAAACAGTACCATATATATATTACAAACCAAATGAAATTTGATCAAGAATCACTGACAGAACCCTAATGCCAGTTTCACAATAATTTTTCAGAAATTAAATGTACTTTAAGTTATAACGCTCGCTTCTAAACTAAGGGATAGTATAAGTTGTGTTTAGTCTTCCAGATGGACTTTAAACAAATTTCATCTTACAAGATAAAATATTCACTACCTTTTATGATTTAAGCAAACTTAATACTTGCTCTAATAAAAGTAACTTAATTACAATTTCTTACAACTTAATTACAAATGTTTATACAGGCTGCATCTAAGTACACACTTGAAGTTTTATAGTTTTGATGACTTTCATTAACAGGATCCAGATATCAGTGATGAAATCCAAATTTAAAGGAAACTAGGAGTCAGACAGAAATAATCAGTAACTATACAGAGGTCCAGAAAATTCTTATTTCTGGTCCATTCAATGTCCACAACCAAGTGACAACCTTCTGGTCTAAGATAGCCAGTTTGGCAAAATGACTCATGAAAGCTCAGAAGCTGAAACAGATGATTGATTGATAGATACTGATGAAATCCTCAGTATGAAAAAAATAGAATAGTACATCCGTATGCTCATTTTGCCTGCAACCAATAAATCAAGTTTACGTCTCATGTTCCATCAGTAATCCAAGCAATTTTAAACAGCAACAGGAAGCTACATTCCCCTCATTGTCACTGGAAGGATTGGGTTGGCTCATAATAATGAGAAAAAAGCTAATCCTGATGCAAATGACTTTGCTCAACCACCTTGGTAACAATGGCAAGATTAATGCAAAAAATCAAATTCCTATAAAGATTTAGTGAAGTAACTAAACTGTCATAAGAAAAAGCAATTCAAGACATGACAAAAAAAAAATCTGCCCTTAAGTGTAGTGCCAAGCCATACTAGACAATTCCAATTAACAGGCACAGAAGAAGGGTTATTCTTACAATGTCAACTAGCACACAGGCTTAAAAAAAGCTTTATAAATTAATGTAGGGTTCTTTTAATTTGTTTTGAGAGCAATAGTGAAGCAGGTCTAACCTCAGTTACAATGATGTAACCCAAACACACAGTTCTGGTAAAAACAACAAAAACAAAGAATATCAACAATGGATTCTATAATGTTTCATTATATGCCCTTACACACAGTCCCAAAAGCTTTGTGTCCTCTAAAACACAGAACTTCCATGGGGAAGCTTTTCTTTTGTCTCTAGTAAAACTAAAACCAGAACAGGATGAAGAATTGAAGCATAGTTTATGTTGTAAGTCAAAGAGCAAGTAATCATGGATACCAAATTTATTAGCAACATGTGGTAATGTTACCTCTGGTAGCTTTGTTACTTACCTCCACTTGCTGATTCTTGCTCTTCCCCTTCAGGAAACATAGCCTGGCTTGGTAAACTATTCCTAGAACGCGTGACTGACTCTAAATGTGAAGCCCTTCCCAATAGAGATAGCTCATCTAGCACCTCTCCCTCTTTGGCCTCCAAATCTGATTTTGAAGTGGTTAATTGTTTTATGTTACCTGGTGCCATTAAGCTATTTGGGTTATTTAAACAGGCTACAGTACCACTGTCCAGACTTAATACTCTGGCACGACTCTTCACACTGTTAGTACTAGAAGTTCGACGTGTTGAACGTTTTTTGCTAATTCCTTCAGAGCCTAAATGGGCTTTGTAGGTGTTTGAGTCTGCGCCTCCTCTTTCTTTAATGTATTTGGTCTTTAGAGCATTGTACTTGCCCTCAGGAGACTGGCATGAATGGGAAGTGGTGCTGGAAGAACTATCACTGCTGAACTGGTGGGCTGACTGCATGCTTGAGGTCCTGCTCAAGTCACTCTGATCACTGGAGTCCTCGTCATGACAAAACACAGCACTTTGGGGTTTGGTTCCAGACACGCCTCGAAAGGAAATGTATTCCCTATGCCGGCTTGAGTCAAAACTGCTAGCCCGCTTTTTTCCTGTCCGTCTCCTGCTCGATTTATGAACAGAGGCTGTCCGATGGATTAAGCTAGATGATTTAGGTCGTACATCTCCTTCCTTTTGTTTACCACCTGTTTCTTTACAAGTTCTTGAATCAACTAAGGCAGCCAATTTCTCACTCTGATCATCTCTTGTTTCAGCAGCCTTCCCAGGTGGCCTGTCTACTTGTGTAGTCAGTTCATTGGCATGTGGGTTCTTATTGGCTTCTTCTGAAGCAGAGGCACTAAGACCCCTTTGACTGTGTATCTCATCGGATGTGTTAGAATCCTTTGTTTCTTGAACACCACTATTAGTGCTCATTTCTACAGCAGTTCTTTCACTACCAGACCTTTTATCCGTAGCAGAGCTACTGTCATCCTCTGAGTCAATACAGCAGTCCTTTTTCTTGCTGTTCTCTCTCTCTTCTCTAGGAGACTCCTCATGCTCTGACAACACATTTTCTACATGAGTTGAACTGGTCTGCTCACTTTTGTAACTACTGATGGTACTGTTAGTGTCACGATCAATTCCACTGCAATAGCTTTCTGTTGAACCACTACTCCTACCACTCAGGCTTCTCAGACTGTCCACACTTTTTTCTGCTTTCAAAGATTTGCTCTTCCCACTCTTGGCCAGCTGCTGGGGGCTGCTACTTTTCAGGATGTCATCTAACTGAAAGACTCCTGAAATACAAGAGTTCTCAGCTAAGGATTCTTTGGATCCACAATGGGGTTTGGAAGCTTCCAACTCACTGACTGGATCTAGTCCTCGTCTTTGTTGATAGAGAGGGAAGTCATTTAGAGAAGCATCTGGAAAAGCAACAGCAGAGCTAGAGGTCCTTGGCACACCTCGTGGTCTGTGATCTTTTCTATAGGAGTGGGAATGCAAAGGTACAAGAGAAGCCACTTCAGTGTCACATGCACTAGATATAGACTGATCCACGTGGTGGTTGTTAGGGAGGCACACTTTATCACTGTTGTCCCTTGGCAAATCCTGGCCAGAGGATAACGAAGGCTGGATGGAGACAAAGGAGTCATTGGAGACCAGATGAAGAATCTTCTGATCAGCTGCCAAATCTGTGTAAGTGTACATTTGAAAATATTAAAGTCAGCAAGACATACAACCTTGCTTTTCTACTACTAGGTTACAAAAGAAATAGTTCAGTGAAAAGTTAGTTACTTGCTATGACAGTAATAAATAAGTTCTACAGGTCCAGTTAGCTAGACTGCAGCATTTCAGGTTCTGGGAGACCTGTTGAGCAGTAAGTTAGTAGACAATGGCAGCAAAAATACAAATATCGCTGCAGCACTCATGTGAGAGTTAAGCATGGGCTACATTACCAAACACTAAGAGTAAGATAGGACTGTGTCAAGACAGAGCACAGTTGTACATCATTTGTATTGAGAGTTATACATCTTCAATACTTGGACAGAAGAAAATTATTAAACATTATGTACCATCACACCTTATTATTGAAGGTCAAAAACGCAATTCCTCTCCTTTAATGATCTTTGTCAGACTTAATGTTCTTTGATACAGTATGTGCATTAAGTCCCTTTTTAAAAAAAAAAAAAGGATCAGATCTGCTCCTTTGTAGGAAAATACAGTAAATGTGACTACATTCACAATCTTACAGAAATTTAAAAAAGAAGTGATCAGAGCAGTAAGACCCCATGACTGAAGTGACTAAAGTAGATCCAAAAGGCATACAGAAAAACCCATCGAGTGCATTAGTTTTCTACCATAGACTATAAAATGCTCATATTAACAAATCTATATGCACTGGCAGTGAACAGCTTGATCACACTCCACCTGAAGGGGAAGTTATTAGAATTCTTCTAAACTGCAATGCTGAATCCCAGATTTAGGTAAATAAGTAGCTACTACTCATTCAAAATTGAACTACAGCTCTACTCCGGAAAATGGTGCTGTACAAAGAGCATCATGAGGTGTCATGTGTCTCAACAACTGTAATATAACATGCACTAAAATTACAATTATTTATATTATATTTACAGAAAGATTTTTTCCTTCTGCCTGCCTTGCAGAAAGCATCTAGAGTGAAGCTCTTTTCCTTCTTGTGCATTACCACCAATATAGAAGACCTGGAGGCCAAATTAGGCCAACACAGTTACCAGCCCTCATTGTTTACAGTGGGTTCATACAAGTGGAACTAAATACACACTTAATACTTGGAACTTAATACATAGTAGCTCTGCCTATGCACAAGAAGGAGCAGAATCCAGATAACTCTCAGCTAACACTGCAGAGCTGGAGTAGAAAGCCTGAAACTTATTTGTCAGTGAGGCAAACAGTCGTGACTCTGAATACACAGGGAACCTACCTACTGGCAGGGGTGAAAGTAACTTAAAGGACTTACCGGTACGCCGGAGTCCGGAGCGGGGGCGTGGTCTCCACCGGAAGAGATGGGGCCTTTCATTATTTAAAGGGAACCCCAGGGCCTTTAAATCACCCTGGAGCTACCAGCTGCAGAGGCGGCTGGGAGCCCTGAGGCTCAGGAGTAAATTAAAGGGCCGAGGCCACCACGGAGCTCCGGGCCCTTTATATCACCGTGGGAGCCCTGCCACTGCTACCCTGGGACGGCAGGGCTCCGGAGGGGATTTAAAAGGCCTGTTGCTCCTGTCACTGCGGGGAGCCCCGGGCCCTTTAAATCCCCTCTGGGGCTCCGGCAGCCGGGCTCAGGCGGGAATTTAAAGGGCCCAGGGCTCTGGCCGCTGTGGGGAGCCCTGGGCCCTTTAAAGTGCCGCTGGAGCCCTGCCGCTACTGGGGTAGTGGCAACAGGGTCTGGGGGCGGGAGGGGGGATTTAAAGGGCTCGGAACTCCGGCTGCTGCAGGGAGAACGGGCCCTTTAAAGCGCCGCCCGAGCCCCGCTGCTTAAAAGGCCCGGGGCTCCCGGCAGTGGCTGGAGTTCCGGGCCCTTTAAATCCCTGCGTGAGCCTGGCTGCCGGAGCTCCGGTAATGATTTAAAGGGCCCGGGGCTCCCCACAGCGGCTGGAGCCCTGGGCCCTTTAAATCCCCGCCAGGGAAGCCAGTCCAGTCCAGCACGGCATACCAGCTCTTGCCAGTACGCTGTACCGGACCGTACCTGCTTACTTTCACCTCTGCCTACTGGGTAAGATGGTGCAATTTATACTTAGGCATTACTTAGGTCCGCTACTCCTCTGAAATATGACTAAGAGAAGTCACCATGAACAAATTCTCTAGGCTGCAAGTTTATACTAAGCTTCACATCTAACAAGATTTTTTCATGGAGTTATAAACCCATGAAAACAGGTTTAAAAATAAAACTACTGACAACCATAGAATGTAAGTTAACATGCAATGAAAGGATGCATGATCACACATTTCAAGGCATCACAGTAATAGTTCTCACACACACTGCTGCAACATGCAGTTTCTGATCCTGCAAGCAGTTTGCTGTAAATATGCCCTCAAATACAAAAACCCACTCCAAAAAAATTTTACTAACCTTTAGTAAGTTGTACCTAACTACACCAGCGTCATGCCTTTTAGAGAGTTTTCAGTGGCAAGGGGGCAGAACATACAGCATACATCCAATACCCTTTGGACGATGCCAGAAAATTGAGCATACATCCAAAGGGTAAACTTCAGAGGATGCACACTGTATACCCAATGGGCTTACTGTAATTAATTAAGAAAAGGAGAAACTCCAAGACACCATCTTTTTGTTTCCATCTAAAAAATAAATGAGTTATCCACATTCTGTCCAGCAGTATCAATAGTGACACAGCATGAGCTTCATGTAACTAGGGTGACCAGATGTCCCGATTTTATAGGGACAGTCCTCATATTTGGGGCTTTGTCTTGTGTAGGTGCCTATTACCCCCGACCCCCATCCCGATTTTTCACACTTGCTATCTGGTCACCCTACATGTAACAGACCCTGACATTTAACTGAAGTGTTAGGTTTTTTTGTATGACCAACTAGGAGGTTTTGAGTTGTTCTAAACTAACATTTATTCAAGTGACATTAGGAGGACTGAATAGCCCCGATGAAGTGCATACCAATATAGAAGTTTTATGGCAATCACTGACCACAATGCCAGATTAAAGCATAATAAACCAGAAGTCTCACCTTGTTCTTCACTTCCTTCTTTACAAAGACTACAACTCCGGCCAAGACTTAAACTGATATCATCAGAAGTCTTCGCAGTGTCAGTATCTCCTATATATTGTAAAAAGCATATTAGTGCTCAAAATATTAACTTTTAAATCTATTGAGGGTACACATTTTTTAAATATTTCACTTACAAGTGAGATGGTAAACATAACAAGATTCAAAATCTGCACTAAGACCTCAGCTTAGTCACTTTGCTTGAAAATGTTTTAACTACCATAATTAAGTAACATAAGATTACTGTAATAGAAAGGAATTGGAGAAAAGTGTTTACTTTATCAGTTAGTTTTACTTTGTGTATAAGCAGGTTCTCCTTTTGATTGTGGGGGGTCTTCAATATAGCAAGCGGGAAACGAAAAGGATATTCTTACAGAGAGAAATAGGAAAATGAAACCCTGCTGAAAATTTAGTTTTGCTCAGAGGTAGGTGAAGTACCCGAAGCTACTTTTTAAAAAATATTTACTGGGTTGTAAATTTACAATATCCCTTAAAATAAGCTTGAAATCCAAATTCACAGAATAGCAATCATGTCAATTCTCTAATAGAAGATGGAGCATATTAGGAGTTTGCCAGGTAATGCAGTAAGCTAGGTTAATCATGCTAACTTGACTGTATTTTGCAGACAGTAAGTTATTTGCTTTTAACAGTTAGGTGTTTTGTTGCCTATTTTTGAAAGCAACATCCTGATTAATGAAGACTAGCAGAAACAAAATGCTATGGCTTTCCTTGAGCCTTGTTTACATTACGGTTTTTAGCCACTGGAATAAAGCACAGACACAACACACTGGTATAAACTGTGAATTACACTGCTGCAGCTTCCCCAGTTTGAAGCCATGTTAAGCTGCATTGGTACAAGACACAGTTTACACCAGTGCACAGCTTCTCTATCAGAATTTTGCCCAAATACAGCCACACTAGTGGCTAAACACTGTTGAAGGGTGAACAGAACCATCAAGAGGATAAAAATGTACATAGATTGACTAGCAGGGCAGGGAAGAAAACCAGTTATTTCCTTATTTAAATTAAAAAGTTGCACATTTAAGGAGGCCACCTTCCATTTTGCCTGTTACAAATAATCTTTCCCACTGAAATGCATTTTAAAATAGCTATTCCGAACAACACTACTTCTCTCCTTATTTGTTGGATGCTTAGCATCCAGTAATATCAAGTTAAAGTATTGCAGCAGGTGGACTTATGGCTGCAGGGTAAGTAATAAACGAGTATTTGAAAGGATAGGGAGTGAGGGAGAGGAGAAAGTCTAGTAAGCACCTTTCAGGAAGTGAGACATGGATTTCTATGCTTTCCTTTCCCAGTGAAGTTTTAAAAAGTTTCTCTGCATTTGTAATCACAACACTCAAAGAATTAAGAATTTTTTCAAGTCCTCAGGCAGTGTACTCACTCACTCCTATAACAATGGCAGGCTGAAAGGTAAAGATGGTGGACAGGATTTGGAAACATCACATTGACACTGACTTGAAATGCTGCTGCAAGGCAATATCAAGGATAGACAGAATCTTACCTTTGATGGTTGCTGTTGTTCCAAGACGAGATAATCCTGATCCAATCTGGAAACAGGGCATATAAAAAAGGAGGGGGAAAAAAAGAGTAAGCCTTTTCTGAGTTACATGGCAACTGCTGTTTCATAGTTCTGCAATGTGTACATTATTTACTTATACGCGTAAGGAAAATTTCCAAAGGCACAAATGGGAGTGAGGTGCCAGAAGTCGGGCACCTAACAGTCCTTTGTGTCTTCACAACTGTCTGTGAATGGTAAGCCATCTAATTTATTATTCAAGAGTTAACACTAAGGCTCTACCTAATTTGCGATATTATGGATCCCACAATATTAGGCTTTCATCGCAATTTTAGCTTACTTTGCACAGTCCACAATTTTGCATCTATTTTGAGGTTTGCAACACACTTTCTCTCAATTAATACAGTAGACCCCATTTATATGAGCTGATAGGGGCTGGGGCTCCTGATGTAAACCCCAGGCATTAATGATAGTAAAATAGTTGAAGCAAAATGTCTGGTTATCAAAAAAAAATATGCATAACAATACTTGAGTAAAAAGCAACAGAGTGTCCTGTGGCACCTTTAAGACTAACTGAAGTATTGGAGCATAAGCTTTCGTGGGTGAATGCCCACTTCATCAGACGCAGGGGGGAATGCCCACTTCATCAGACGCAG